ATGATAGACAACCTATTATGGTATTTTAGAAAAAGTATTATTATGTACCTTAACTTTAGACATATCATTTTAGAAGTAAAACTTACCTAAAACAGTATTATTATGTTTTGAAGATTAAAACTTGAAATTGGATAATAACTTTAGAAGAAAGGGTAGCTTGCTAAAACCATCTAGTTACTAAAGTTGGTCACGATTTTTAACCGGACCAGTAAGAAATGGAGATGGTTTTCAAGCCTAGTGATATGAAATGGGCAATGCATCCTTTTGAAAATGTAGAAGCAAATCTCTGAGCCATAAATACAATTCTAAAAATGAATTGGTTTGTTATATTGGTTTTGCTCTTTCATGAACACCATGGTAATCTATGAAGAAAATTGACTTTTTGAAGGGAAATTAAATGGCTTTTAAGAGCTTCCTAAAGGGGTGTAGTATGTTAGGAAAAAGCCAATAAAACTTGTGTTTTAAATGGTAAAGATCTTGCTACATTTATAATTCATGTTGTGTTCAGTCTGTATCAGAGGATGATAACAGCACTAACTATAAAGGGCAGGCTGATGGTACATCTTGGATGTCTGAATTTCTCTACAGTGAAGATATTCTACACGTGGCCTTTCCAATCAGTAACTTCAACAGAACAAAATTACAAGGTAGGTGTGACTGAACTAACAGACAGCTTGATAGCTTTGAGGAAATCAAAGAGTATAAACCACACATTTTTGTGAAATATCTTGTTATTTCATTTTATTTAAGTATATTACATTTTATTATGTTATTTTTCCGAGAAAGGTTTTCACCTTTTGCTTCTAGCTAAGAAGAATAGAGGAAGAACAGAAACTGGGAAAACAAACAAATATCAGTATTAAAATTGCAGACAAACAATGTCATAAAAACATCTCTTTCTCTTCAGAAATATATATTATATCTAAAGACCTTTGAGATATACATTTGTGCCTAGAGCAAGGTGGGTGGCTGAAAACTCTATCCACCTAAAGTGAGCATCTGAAAACTCTACCTCCACCTGTGTGATTTCTAATGAGTTTTCAGATAGACAGAATTCTCATCGGAGCTAATGAACTATCAACTGGAAGGTTTTTTTCAACATATCTTTATCATATCATAAGGAGGTCAATATAGCAGGAATATTTGATAAACAAAAGCTGTCAGTAATTTTTTGTTTACAAATTACTGCTGTAACTTCTGCACTGCCTACTGTCTGACTCTGTTTCTATGAAAACAATTCTTAAAAAGTAATTTGTTTTAGTAATTTGAGGCTTATAAGTTTAATAAATTATATAATGTCAAACTTTGGCCAAATTGGCTTTTCCAGAATCTGTAATATTAAAGCAACTTCATTAGCATCTATAGGATTATAACACCCATTGGTTGGGGGATTCCAGACTATCAATTGTCAACTACTGTTACAACTAACTTTATAACTGAATTTTGATCTTTTTTACAATGGATATTTTAGTCAGTAGTTTTGGCTCCATCTAACTGATATAGGCTGCAAACCAATGAATAGCAGACTTGCTTAGGTCCTAATACATACTGATTCCAGAAATGAACCAATATTGTAGAATGTTAAGTTGGTATTTAAAAATAATTTATATCTAAGAGCTAACTGAATTATCATAGTTCTTGTCTAGCAACTCTTCATTCAATGTTAAATTTCTTTAAATCTTATAGTAGGAAAGCTACTATTTTAAATACATAAGAGATGAAATGTGTGATAGAAAATATGCTTCCAGATTTATAAAGCAAATATTAAATGAAGCTGATATAAGCTGAGTATTTTCTGGATATGCTTGACAGACACAGGTACAGAAAGAGAGTAAGAAAGATACACATATTTCTAGATCTAAGTGATTTCTTGCTAATACATTAAAGCTGTATAACTATAAACAAATCATCATAGATAACACTGAGTTAGTTGAAGGGAAGGCTACAACTGCAACTTTAAATATCATCTGCATATACCAGCTGATTATGCATGAAAAGAAACCATGTTCACTCCATTCCACCTTAGTTTTTGTGTAAATCAAATCATTTCAAACAAGCCAGAAAACAAAATGAATCTTAGAGAATTGTAAGAACTCTTGCTATGGGAATATGTTTGTTTCTCCTTCTTAAATTGAAAATATTTTTTTCTGAAAAACACTCAAAGTCAAAGCATTTCATGCTAAAAGTATAGTTATATCATAATTTTTGTGTAATGACATATGGAGAACATGGTAATAAACTAAACACATGGCTTTTTTGGAGAAATGTTAACAGATCTAGATAGAGTGAAACTGGAGAAAACCTTCTGAGTAATATTCTTTATGATACTGTAGTGATGTACTAGTCCAAGGGTCTGCAACCCTGGCCACTTTAAGACTTGTGGACTTCAACTCCCAGAATTCTGGGAGTTGAAGTCCACAAGTCTTAAAGTGGCCAGGGTTGTAGACCCCTGGTCTAGTCCAGAATGTCTAGAGATGTCTTGATTAAGCCATCATGAGAGGCCAGAAGGGATTATCAAAAAAATAAAGAATGGAGACAGTCATCTATCAGGCACTTTATGAATAGGATATCCAACATATATGCAGTTGAATTAAATACTCTCTTAGCTTTTAAAAAGCTTTTAACCCATTTTTTTTTCAGAATATAGTACACTAACTATTGTTGAAAACTTTTTTTATTCTATTTTTACCAAAAGGGAAAATTTTGCAGGAAGCAAATCTAGTTTCCTTTTGAGTTAAATAATGGTTTAATATGATTCTCAAATAACATATTAGGGTGGTGTAATTTCTCTGAAGCTTTGAGAAGCAATTCCACCCATCTACAATTAGAAAAGTTAAGCAGCTATATTGCTTGTGCCATGATTCTAATCTTGGTATAGTCCACTTATGTAAGGAGCATTTAAGATGTCAGGCTTCTGATTAATAGTATGGCAAATAAAGAGTAGGTGATTTTGTTTACATCACTGAATGCACCATGTGAAAGCTTTAGGAGAAGGTGAAATATGTTTAAACTGTAGAACAAGTAGACTACATATTTAAGGAAAAGTGATAACTTCCCTGGGCAAGAAAGTTGAGAAATATTCTCTTTTAATAGTCTGGATGGGAATCTTTTAGGAATACTAAAATGTCACTGCACACTACTTGGAACTGTTAGACTTGAGACATCGTGGTGCTATAAAGCTATATCTTTATTCACGTTTCTCAGTGCTATTTTATTGCTTGCAAAACAGCATTTTCATAGTGACATGGGATAACACTATTAAAACAAGTTTGGGTTAATGTGTGACAAATGGATACATTTGAGAAAAACTGATTTGAGAAAGTATCTAATTTTTTTTTAACAGGCTGACCCTGCCAGTTTGAGCTACTTGAAGAAGCAACAGGACATCTATGTAATTGATTTTTTTCAACTATAATAAATTTGACCATATTTATTTTATATTATCTTTTATACTTTTTAATTTTATCATAAAATATTTCATATGCATAGGAAATTTATAGACTTTGGCATCATTTTCTTAAAGTATCTATTGTTCCTTTCTGTAAAAATCTGCATTAAAATGGCTTGGTCAAGATTCATTGTTTTGAATTATATTGTTCATCCTTACTGTGGAACATTTTATCTTTTACAACTGAAAATATATTATAGAATGTCTTATGTTATAGCAGTTCACTTAGGAAAGAGCACATATGACTTCCTTTTAATAACAACAATCTATTGTGATCCTTTCCATGTAAGAAAAAAGCACTCAAGTCATATTTTCAAACTCATACTCAAATTCCATTGCTTTTTTAAAGGATATGTTAAAACAAAAATGAATACATGCAACAGAATACCAATTTGATCTGAAACTTTCTTTGCAGACTTTGAACGTGCAGTGCTCGGACTTTAGTCCTGTAAATTTTAAAAAGTATAACTCTTCTTAGTTTTCTCTAATTTTGTCTTTGCTATGTATTCTTTTACTTTTATTTGGAAGGAGAATTACTTGTAGTTTATAAAATCCAAAGTTGAGGGGCACCATTTATAAATAAATCAAATTGGGTTCAATCTGTTGAATAAATATTTTTTCTCGATGAAATATCTATTTAGAAATACAATGGATACAGCTCATACTGTAACGAATACTGAAACTTAAGACAGTTATTATTGGTGAAAAATTCTTACTTAAATACATATATCATTCGGAATATAACAAGACTGAAATCAGCAATAGGAAATAGTTTGCAGGCTTTAAGGTCAGCCAACATACACTGGGCTACAAGTAGCACAAATTATTTAGACCTTTTTCTCGGAGGTATAACTCAATTCCTCAAAGTACCGCCTAGTTTCCTAAACATATTTTTCATTATGCGATTGAGTGTGCTTTTTAAGAGTACACGTGCATGTGCGTACACAGACAAATACGATTTCTTGGGTTTTTGTGAAGCAAAAACAAACAAACAAACAAACAAACAAACAAACACCCCCCCCCCAAACATTGTGGAGGGTTGAAAAATAAATAAATTCAGGCTCAGTGGTTGTTGAGATCTGCCAGAGATTGGGCGGCTGTGTGCAGCGTCCGGGGAACAATAGGTACCTGTATTCTGCATGGACCGCTGGGCGGGGACCAAGTAATCTGGGAAAAGCTTTGCCTACTACGCTGAGACTTCCTCAGGGAGAATGCATAATAAGAGCACCGCTTTCCCGCGAGGAAGGCGAGAAGGAATCCCGGCTGTTGCATGAGGAGGGGCCAAATGAGCTTTAATCATTTCTAGCCAGCCTTGACTTGGCCTGAACGTGATGTTCTCGGTCTAGAACTCAGCAGGGATGCCTTTCCCCTTTACTACTTCAGACAGACACTCTCTCTGCAGAAGAAGTACATGCCGCTCCTCGCCTCTTCCAGGCGGGCGCGCGCGCGCTCACGCCTCCGCCCCCCCCCCCCCCCCCCCCCCCGGGCGGGCGCGCGCGCGCCCCCCCCCCCCCCCCCCCCCCCCTCCCACTGGTCTGAGCAGGCAGCTTAAGTGTCACCGCTACAACCGAGCCCAGTGCAGCACCCGTCGCCATGGCGTGAAGAGGGGCCCCCGGGAGATGACAACAACTAAGGAGCTTCGTTCGGCTTTCAAGTTGGGGTAAGGGAGACTCTTTATTTCCTCCAGACTTTTCGGGTCCTTGAAGACAAGGGTTTTATCTTAGGCTTACCTTATTTTCAGGGTGAAGCTCTTTGCAAAGCCCGGACCGTAGGCATATATTGCTCATGGAGAAACTGACTTGCCCCGCTTTTTCGGAGATGAGAACTCTTCGAATTCGAGTGGCTTTTAACATTCGGCAGCCGAAATGGATTCTTTTCTCCCCCCCCCATCTTTTTGCAGAAGGGAGGGGATGGTCCTTGGGGTAGAGCGCTTACTTGTTCTTTAGAGTTCCGAGTGAAAAACGTCCCTTCGCCCTGGCTTTCCGTCCCAATTTTTACTTTTTTACACCCTTGCCTGTCCTGAGGTCAAAGACTTAAAAAATTAATGAACTTCCCTGCCGAGTTCAAATAACATAATCTACACGAAGGGCTGAAGCAGAAGATCTCACGGATATTTTTTATGCAGGTGTAAAGTTTAAACTTTAATATGTTGTTTTCTGAGTACTTTATATTAATTGGAAGTATATTTTTGCATTAGAAAAATGTCAACTATCTAAAATATTAGCACAATGCAATGTTAACAAAACACATTGCTGAGCATAACAGAACTAGGTAGGGATTTTTTTAAACTGCATAAATAAATAATACGGTGATTCTCCCTACATCATAGGTGTGTAGTAGGTTATTGGTAAGCAATTTCCTAAATATGTAATTCAGAGAAATTCATAGCAATTGAGGAAAAACAGTTTGACCCATAAATTTTAAGTTATATCTTAAAAAGATAGCCAAGAATGTTAGCAAATAAATTGAATTATACAGTGAAACACAAACAGTTTTAAAAGGTCTAATATGTGCCTTTTGTTATTTATGATGATGAAACAAAAGCCACAAATTATTGGTTAGTTCAAAAAAACCCAGCTACAGTGAACAATCCTTTTAAAAGACCTAATGGGCTCAGCAAAATACTATCTGTGTATAGAACTAGTTATTTTGTATCGGTTGTAAAATACAGCAAAAGAGGCAATTTGAAAGCAGTGTGCATTATATGAGAGACATGCATTATATTCAATCACCCATTTCTAAGTTTCATTTTATAATTATGTAATTATGCTTCTTCATGGAAAAATAACATTGAAATCCAGTTTGCTTTAAAACATATTCATTTCAGCTGGAATGCATGTTATTTATTCAATGTGATGCAAAGACAAGAAAATGCTTTTTCCTTTTGGATCTATTGTGATGGGCATAGGGTGATCTGATCTTTTTAATTTTGACTTTCACACTTCAGAAGATTAAAGAAAGATTTCAGCTCTTTTTAGAGATTGCTTAAGTATTTCTAAATGTTTAAAAGACTACTCTTGGTTGCTATGGCCAGTCTGACCTCTCTCTTTGCCATTTTAGGGAGTAAGGCAATCCTTTTTTACATTAATTCTATCTACCTTGATTTATGTCTAAAATTGTGACTAAATGTCTTTGTTTCCAAGTGATAAATGTGGCATGTATTAAATCATTTATTAGAAGTAAACACTGCTCTCTTACTCAAAATATGTTTTGTTCTGAGTTAATGGTATGGAACAAGCCACTCTCAGCAAACAACTATCTATTATTTTAAAGAGCCACTGAAAACTTGGCTCCAGAAGGAGGAAATTGGCATTCACTTTCTCTTTCATTGGTGTTTCGTTTCTGATATCTGATGATGATGAGACAGCATGTAAATTGAAATGAATGCCTAGCGTTCCATTCTCCAGCCAGATGGAAATTGGTTCACTTTTGTTTATATATTCCATAACATCTCCCACATAATGTTTGTCTGCTATTTTATTATCACTGACTATACAAAAGATATGTAAATAAATGTATTCTTCTGATAGAGGCTCACTGTTTTATATTAGTTCATTGAATAGCATAAGATTTTGTTGTTACAAAAAATGTTCACTTTTATTTAATGTCCCTTGCATATTAGAAAAACTCTTTCAGAAAGATTTGGTTTTTTAAGATGTTTTTTCCCCTAGCATAAACTGCTTATTGAAGGGCTTCTCTCCCCCCCCCCACCAGATGAAAATTACTGGTTTGACTTGTTTCGATTTTGTATGCCAGCCTAATGTAATAATGATCTCAGGCTAGCAGAGAAAATGATTTGGGAGTTTTATATGCTTGAAAAACACATTAATGCTTAACTTTTTTTCCTTAAAACAATTAGCTAAAATTGCAACTGTAATGCAGCGTGAAACCTAATGCGTTACCAGTAAATTTTTTGATTTAATTAAGTAAGTACACAAACTAATATTTTAAGGAATATATTTATTTTCTTTAACATGCAGGAAGAAGTGCATGATTAGTCCCATTGATTTTAGGGGTCCACTTTATGTCTAGATACAAGGCATTAGCTAATGGTTTTCAAAACTGATTGCTGTCTCCCAATTAGGCATCAATTGGGAGACCTAAAGCAGTGTTTTAATATTGTAATAAGAGTTCTGTTGAATAATGTTTTATAATTTAATTCTGTTATATATCCTGTAATATTGAAAGTACAATTGAAGGTGTCTGAGATTTGAGATTATAAAGATGATGCTTCCTCTTTAAAAAGGTCAGTAGATGAAGTCTTCAAAATGTTTAATATAGAAAGAGACAAATTTAGTTAATAAATGGCATGCATTAGTTTTCAGATTAACAGACTTGGAAGTTGGGTCTTTTGGAACATTATTCAATATTAGATGAATTGGAGTATGTAAGGGGATTGTTAAGGATTATACAGGTAGAATTATGATATATGAAGCTTGAAGTCAAGGAATTAAGCCTAATCAAAACAAAAACGTCCCTTCAGCGAAAGAAAGGTTCAAGAGAATATAAATTGCACTTTGTTCAAAGTCTGATTCCAACCACACTATAAACTAACTGAAAAAAGCACACTGTTCTAACATGTATTAATGACATTTATTTGGCAAATGGTTAGCTTCAAATATATTTACAGTGAAATAGTTATAAATTAAGAGTTTAATAGTATTTTTGGTTGAAAGATCATCATGAAGAAATGCGGGATATCCAAGAAATTCCACATTACAATCATTTCTCAATAGGTAAAGTAGTACAAATTTGATTTGCCCTTCTGAAACCAGTGCATGAGGTGAAACAACATTATAAATGTATAAATGTGTGAATTTGCAAATGAAAATATATGTACAAAATGTATATACTAATGACAGATATGCATAAAAAACACATGCATATACAACACACACACATCCTGCATTAAGAAAATTGTTTATGAAACTGCATTGACAAATTTATGTATTTTAGAAAAAAAAAGTGTAAGACTATATAGATTTCCATAAATTAACATAACCCTAATGTTATAAAAAAAATCAGGAAGGGATGATGAAGAAAGAGAAACAACTTGAAAAAAAGATAACTAAACAAATTCAAATTGGATCATTTATTCCTACTTGCGTAAATCAATGGCTAGGTAATAGACAGTTATTTCCTGATATCAGAAACTAAGAGGAAATACTTCATAATTAATTGAAGCACATAATGCTGTTTTTAAATATTTATTGTCACTCTTCTTGATGATGTGTGTACGGTTTCATCTTTTGTATGTTTGCTTAAAAATATTAAGTGATAGAATTACACTGTCTCTATTAACTGGTGCCAGATATAGCACTATTGATTAACTAAAAGAAGATACCGTGTAAGCATTTCAGCTGTCACCTTTATATTGGGCTTCATCAATTGCAGTACAAATGTATTTCCCACTAATTATTCTTATGTTTTGACTTCCTGTAATTTGCAATCTAAGTCTTACATTTTCCATTATCTTTTCATCTTTGTAGGCTTGTACTGCCTTCTGCTTCTGAAGTATGATATTGTTAGGCATATGTGTATTTCTGAAACATGTGGAGAGTCAATTGAGTAGGAGTGTGTTAAAGCTCCTTCATTAAATGAAAGCCATATTAAACATTATATCTTGTTAATTTGTTTAATACAACACTGCCAGCATCCCATGTCTGTGCTTTAGAAATGTTATAAATACTACATCTCAAATTTCTAAAGTCAGATTTATATGTAAACATCTTTGTGACTCAATGATGTTCAAAAAGCTGCTTCCCTCATTCTCTCTATCATACACAGCCAAAAAAGATACAGCAGAAATGCTGTATTTATTCACTTTCTTAACAGAAGTGTTTTTGTTCACACTTCCAATCAGACATTCATTTTAAGCAGGGCAGTCCTCATTCCCATTGTTTTGATTGTTCTGTTTTTTTCCCATCCTTATTTTCTTCTCCAACTATTACTTTCCGTTTCTTTTCAAAGAGTGTTTTTAAATTTCAGTTCTCCCAAGCATGTTGATACTAATCTCTCTTGATCCTTAGTGAAGCCATTCTGGCTCCTTTTGCATTGGCACAAATTATATGATTTTATTGAGGAGCTCAATTTTTTATTTTTTTAAACTTTCCAGTTCTGTATTTCTTTTGATTTTTTTTCTGCTTATATGGTCTGACTTTGTATTCTTAGTGTGCAAAGAACAATTCTTTGCAATTGGCTGCCAAGTTAAAACATATAGCATGGTAATGCCCATTAAATATAAAATATTTAACTATTCTGCACTTTTGCCCATTTCTGCTGGAATGAATAAACGCTCCATAAAGAAAAGAAACAAGCTAGAACACAGGCAAGAAAAAACCAGAATATTTTAAGTAAATAGTTTAAGTAAAAGTAAGATAATTACTTTTATATAAAAACGATGAAAAAAAACAGAATAGTTTTTCTCATCCTTTTTATATAAAGGTGATTATCTTATTATACCATCACATTAAGATCTTAGTGGTTTTGAATTATCGTCCATTAATGCAAATGCGCATTGTGTTGTGTCTAATGCAGTGTTATTGCAAGTTATTTAGAGAATAAAGAGAATTAATGCTTCACAACTACCAAAGACAGATTTCCTCCAAATCTGCTGTTGATTTCTTTCCCTTCCACTCCCATCCATACACAAAAGCCTAG